ACCGCGCTCATCAGCTGCGAGCCCAGCCAGAAGAGCCCCAGGCTCCGGTAGTTCTTCCTGCGGAGACACCGGGACCCCCGTGAGCCCCCTCCTCCCAAAATCGGGGATTCCACCCTCCCCCCGAGCCCCCCGGCTCACCTGCGGCCGATGGCGCCCACCATCACCAGGTAGAGCCCGTAGTGCACGATGCCGTCCCAGTAGCAGCTGAGGAGCCCGTGAGCCGTGCGCAGGTGGGGCTCGCCCTGCGGGGACAGAGGGGACACTGGGGGGACAGCGGGGACACGGAGGGGACACTGGGGGGACAGCGGGGACACGGAGGGGACACTGGGGGGACACTGGCGGGACAGCGGGGACAGCGGGGACACGGAGGGGACAGCGGGGACACCGCGGGGTGTGTGCGGTGTGTGGGGTTTGCGGGGTGTGTGGTGTGTGGGGCGTGTGGGGCCGTACCTCTCGCACGTAGAGCTCCATGAAGCCCGAGATGAACCCGTCCTCCTCCAGCGCGATGATCAAATCCACGGCCGAGACGAAGGAGAACGCCACGAACACTGCGGGACGGGCGGGAGGGCTCCGTGGGGGCCCGCGGGTCCCCCCAGATCCCAGATCCCAAATCCCAAATCCCTGCAGGCGCCACAGCTCCGCCCAGATCCCAGATCCCAAATCCCAGATCCCAAATCCCTGCAGGTGCCAAAGCTCCGCCCAGATCCCAAATCCCAAATCCCTGCAGGTGCCACAGCTCCGCCCAGATCCCAGATCCCAGATCCCAAATCCCAAATCCCAAATCCCTGCAGGTGCCAAAGCTCCTCCCAGATCCCAAATCCCAAATCCCTGCAGGTGCCACAGCTCCGCTCAGATCCCAGATCCCAGATCCCAAATCCCTGCAGGTGCCACAGCTCCGCCCAGATCCCAAATCCCAAATGCCCGCTCCCTCGGGCGCTCACCGCAGAACAGCGGGTCCTGGAAGTGGCCGACGCCGCCGCTGAGGATGAGGATGGAGCCGAGGCCGAGGAGCGCCAGGATCGCCACCGCCGCCAGGGCCAGGGGGCTGCTGCRGGACGGGACAGGGTCAGGCACGGCCCCACTGCCCCATCCCCAACAAAAACCCCTCATCACACCGAGTTTGGGATCAGACACCCGCACGGGTTTGTGGTGTCCCCAGGGCTGCGGGTCGCTGTCACCTGGAGAGTGTCACAAAGGGGATCCCGGAGCTCTGGGTGCCAAAAAGGGAAAGGTGGGAATGGAAACGGGAGAGCTCTGCCGGGTGGAAGAGGAGCTGGGTTAAAGTGAAGTTTGGTGGTGAAGTAAAAACTGGAATTGGTTGTGAAGATAAATACAGGAGAAATAAAGATAGAAAAGATAAATAGAGAAGGAATAAATATAGAATATTAGATGGAAATAAAGACATAAAGAGTGGGGAAAGGAAGGTGAAGGGGCCGGGAGRGAAGGGAAGGACAGGAAGGGAAGAAAGGGATGAAGGAACACAAAGGGAAAGCCCCGAGCTGGCAGTTCCTGGGGCCTGGGGCTGGAAATTGGGGGAAAAATCACCGAAATTAGGGAAAAATGAGCGTGGGTTTGTGTGGAAAGGGAATAAAGCAGGAGAGGAAGGGCGGGGATGGCACCGCTGGACCGCCCGGAGCGGCAGCGCCGTTATCAGCGGCGGGGACCGGGGGTGACAGCGGCCACGTCACCGGGGGACGCTCCCGAGGGGTCTCCAGGGCCGGAGCCACCCCAATTCCCGGGATTTGGGTGTCCGGGAGCCCGAGCGGCTCTGCTGGGGCCGAACTTCCAGAGCGGGATTTGAATCCATCGGGAAAGTCCGACYTTCCCACGGGGAAAAGCTGGACCGAGGCGCGCCTGTCCCGGGATGGATCCCGCGACCCGGGACAGACCCGGCCCCGGCCCGGGCAGGACCCCGTTCCCGTTCCCTGGAATCCTTCCCGTTCCCCATTCCCGGGAATCCCTCCCGTTCCTCATTCCCGGGAATCCCTCCCGTTCCCCGTTCCCCGTTCCCGGGAATCCCTCCCGTTCCCCATTCCCGGGAATCCCTCCCGTTCCCCATTCCCGGGAATCCCTCCCGTTCCCCGTTCCCGGGGGTCCCTCCCGTTCCCCGTTCCCGGGAATCCCTCCCGTTCCCGTTCCCGGGAATCCCCCCCGTTCCCCATTCCCGGGAATCCCTCCCGTTCCCCGTGTCCGGGGGTCCCTCCCGTTCCCCGTTCCCGGGAATCCCTCCCGTTCCCCATTCCCCATTCCCGGGGCTCCCTCCCGTTCCCCGTTCCCGTTCCCGGGGTCCCGCCCGGTCGCCACTCACTCCGCCAGGCTGGCCACGCCGGTGGCACCGAAGGCCACGGGGAGGGCGAGCAGGGGGGCGGCCAGGGCGGCCGGGAGCCCCGGGAGCTGCATCCCGGCCCCGCCGCCTGCACCGGAGCCCGCGGACTTCGGCCCCGGCGGCACCGGGCAGCGCCCTTAAAGCGCCAGAGCCGCCCCGGGGGAGCGGGGACACGGCGGGGACGGACCGGGGACGGGGGACAGAGCGAGGAAAGGGGGACCTGGGGGAAAGGACCGGGAATTCAGACTGGGAGGGGCAGGGAAAAGGACTGGGATCCACTGGAGGGATCCACTGGAGGGACTGGGATCCACTGGAGGGACTGGGATCCACTGGAGGGATCCACTGGAGGGACTGGGATCCACTGGAGGGATTGGGAATCCCGGGGAAGGGGCAGAGCTGGACACTCGTGGCCCCTGAAGGACAAAAACCATTCCCAGGAGCTTTGAAAACTGGGGAATGGGAAGGCTTGAGGGATTTTCCCACTTTTCCAGTTCATCCCGAAGGACGCAGCTCCTCAGAGCCGGGAGGGGGAAGGAGCGGATCAAAGCCGAGATTTATCCCCGATTTTGGGGAGGGATCGCATCCCGCGGGAGACCTGGAACAGCTTCCCAGGGCTGGGAACGGCCGGAAAAATTCCAGCGGAATTAAAAACTTCCCGAGCCCCACCAGCCCCGGCCCCGAGGCTCCACCTTCCCCCGTTCCCGATTCCCAAATCCCTCGGGAATGCGGCACCCGACACCCTTTGGCCCTCCCGCTCCCGCTGGATTTTGCCCTGGGATGGTCCGGGAGGRGCTGGGACACGCCCGGAGCGGGGACGGGGAAGGTTCCCTCGGGAAAAAACCGGGAATAAACGGGATCCAACCCCGGGAATGGGGATCAGGAACCCTCCCCGGCCCCGCTGATGTGTGCCRGAATCCCTCGGAATAAAAGCGATTTTCCAAACCCCTCCAGGCTCCCAAAAATCCCCTCCTGAGATCCCAGGGGGCTCCAGGCTCTGCTTTTCCAGGAAATTCCAGGCGGGAATAGGGATCAAAGGAATGTCCCAGCCCCGGGGACACGAGGGTGGCACGGTGACCTCAGGCCCTGGAGAGCTGCCACCATTTCCCAATATTCCCAAAATTCCTGGCTCTGCAGCAGCTCCAGGCTCCCAGATTTTGGATTTTCCCCAAATAAACCCATCCCAAACAGACCCTTGGATTTTTTTTTAATTAAAAGCCAAACCCTTGACTCTTTAGTTAAAAAAAATTAACAAAGAGAATCACATCAAGTATATGCAGAGAAGGAACTGAACCCAGCTTTGTTTTCCCTAAAATCCTTAGAAAAAAAAGAGTTCTAGGGCAGCCTTAAAAGAAATCCCCTCTTCCCAAAAATTTCAGGATTAAACCTAAGGAACAAACAAGTTTGATTTTATTTACAGACTCAATGAAGAAAAATCCGTATTTCCAGAGGGTTTTTTCTTCCTTTTTAGGACAACAAAAATCCGCCTGGGTTGTTCCAAAGTGTGGCTGGAATTYTGGGGCTCTGTCATCCCAAAGCACAGGAGGTGTTGGCAAAATCTCCGGGGTGGGGACAAATCCCCCCTGGACCCCTCAATCCTCGGATTCCCAACTGATCCACGCTGGATCTGCTCACCCACAGGCAGAACTGGAGGCACTGGTTCCCATCCCACTCCCCCAAATCTCCCAGATTTGGGATTTCAAGATAAAACAAAGGAATTGAATCCCCCTGGAGCAGCACAAGTTTGGGGCGTGGGCGGATTTCATCCCAAAAAAATCCCCGCATTCCTTGGAATTGCAGTCCTTGGATTGATCCCGGGGATTTTCGGTGCTGCTGCGGCCTCTCCAAACCCTCCCCGTGCCAAAAAAAACCTGGGAAGGTTTTTCCAYGGAGGAGGGCGGAGCTGTGATTCCRAAASTCRGGGAATATTGGGAGGGAGGAGGTGGATGATGCAGTTTGGGATAACATCTCACGGAACAGCGTCGGGAAAAGCCCTCCTCAGTAGTAAGGTCGCCGCGGGTTGTTCTGTAGGGAAAAAAGAGATGATGGAAAAATCATCAGGATTGGGGTTTTTATCCCAAAAATCAGCACCTGGCTTGTATGGATGCGACATTTCTGTGGGTTTGTTCCAAAAGCAAAGGCGGCCGCGTGGAGAGGGAAAATCCAAACTTGGTTTTGCCCCCTGGAAAGCGATTATCCCAGAGGAGCCACGGGATCCATGGAGAGGCTTCCTTGGCAGGGGTTTAGCTGGGATGCAGCAGGATAGAGCCAGAAATAAAACCGGGATTTGCATTAAAAACAAATCCACGGGAGGGAAAATTCCACATCCAGGGATGTTTTGGGATGATAACTCAGCTCAGGATGAGCTCAGGAGAATCCAGGAGGAATTTTCAGTGTTGGCTGAGCAAACACCACCAGCCTTCCCGGAGCTTCCCTGGAGACTCCCGGGATTTGTCCCTGCACCTGCCTGGCTTTGGGATGCTCCCAATGGATCCATCGCAATCCCATCCTGTTCCCATTCCCGTATTCCCGTATTCCTGTACCAGCGGGTTGGGCCGGAAGCGGTACGCAGCATCACCCCGATCCCATTCCCATTCCCAATCCCATTCCCATTTTCCCATATTCCCAATCCCAATCCCATACCAGCGGGTTGGGCTGGAAGCGGTACGCAGCATCACCCCGATCCCATTCCCATTTTCCCATTCCCATTTTCCCATTTTCCCATTCCCATATTCCCAATCCCATACCAGCGGGTTGGGCCGGAAGCGGTACGCCAGCATCACCCCAATCCCAATCCCATTTTCCCATATTCCCAATCCCATACCAGCGGGTTGGGCCGGAAGCGGTACGCCAGCATCACCCCGATCCCATTCCCATATTCCCATTCCCATTTTCCCAATCCCACATTCCCATATTCCCGTACCAGCGGGTTGGGCCGGAAGCGGTACGCAGCATCACCCCGATCCCATTCCCAATCCCATATTCCCAATCCCAATCCCGTACCAGTGGGTTGGGCCGGAAGCGGTACGCAGCATCACCCCGATCCCAATCCCATTCCCACATTCCCAATCCCGTACCAGCGGGTTGGGTCGGAAGCGGTACGCCAGCATCATCCGTTTCCGGAAGGCCTCGTACTCGTCGTCCTCCTTGGTGAGCTCGGCCGGGCGCTCGATCCCAAAGCCGGCCCCGTCCACGGCCGTGGTGCCCCTGGAGCAGGGCAAAGGAGGGCTCAGGATCCCCTCCCTGGAATCCCAGTGGGAATTCCCGGGAATCGCCCCCGAACGGGCAAAGGAGGGCTCAGGGATCCCCTCCCTCAGGAATCCCAGCGGGAATTCCCGGGAATTGCCCCGGAACGGGCAAAGGAGGGCTCAGGGATCCCCTCCCCCGGAATCCCAGCGGGAATTCCCGGGAATCGCCCCCGAACGGGCAAAGGAGGGCTCAGGGATCCCCTCCCTCAGGAATCCCAGCGGGAATTCCCGGGAATTGCCCCCGAATGGGCAAAGGAGGGCTCAGGGATCCCTCCCTCAGGAATCCCAGCGGGAATTCCTGGGAATCGCCCCTGGACGGGCAAAGGAGGGCTCAGGGATCTCCTCCCCGGAATCCCAGCAGGAATTCCCGGGAATTGCCCCCGGAATGGCGTTCAGGAATGTTCGGGAATGGCCGGGGGAAATCCCCCAGAAATCAGGGCTGTGGCCTCCATTAGGAATTCCCGACCCTATGAAGGAAYGATCCATGGGAACACTCACTTGCTGACGGGGTTTTTAATGCCCTGCCCGTCCGATCCCAATCCCTCTCCCTCCTTCCAGCCCATCTTCATCAGCATTTGGTATCCGATGTTCTCCACAGTCAGCTTGAACTCCTTGTACTCGGAGTAATCCGGCTCACGGCCCTCCTGCCCACGGAAAAACGGGAAAAGGTTCTTTGTCACTCCAAGGATTGCAGCAGAGGGAGAAAAGCAGCTCCAGCCCCCCCAGATTGGGATGGTTTTCCCGGATTCCAGGATTTCCCGGGATTCCAGCCCTGAGGAGGGAAKGAAGCCCCACCACAATCCACGGGGAGAGATGGAGCTGTGAATATTCAGCTCCTGGATCCCAGGCTGAGCCCTGGATCCAGCTCAGGCCCGGCTCTTTTTCAAGCCTGGATCCCAGGCTTGTCTGGAATTCCAGAAAAATCCCAAACCATGGAATTCCAGACCAGAAAGGGACCCTAAAGCCCATCCAGTCCCACAGGCAGGGACACCTTCCATGGTCCCAGGGCACTCCCACCTTCCCTTGGACACTTCCAGGGATCCAGGGGCAGCCCCAGATCCTCCTGGAATTCCATCCCTTTCCCTCCCCACCCTCCCAGGGAAGGAGTTTATTCCCAGATGTTCTCCCCCATACAAAGAATCCCCTTTTTCCCTGGGGAAGAGCTCCCTGGGCAATGGCCTGGAGGAATTCCCAGCTGTGGGATGGACCTGGAGCATCCCCCATCCCAAATCTCCYCTGGTGCCTCACCTTCAGCGCCTTGAAGGTCTCCATGAACTTCTCCAGCTCGTCGGGCGGGAGGAAATCCCCGATGAAATGTTTGCCTCGGCCCATCTGGGTCAGCTGCTCGGCCCACTCTGGAAAACGGGGACAGCGGGG